AATCTAATAAAATGAATGAACAAACCCAAGATTCCGATAATGAATAAAACAAATAAAACAAATAATTTGAATAAAGCGAATTAAACTTTTAATTCGAATAAACTTTTAAATTCGTATGTTACAAAAATAATTGGCCAAAAAACCATGTGATTTAAAACGTGATAACTTTTCGCATTTTACACATACATTTGTTATTATTTTACTCGTGATACAGCTTTTAAAAATTTTATCATCATATTATTATTATCACAAATAAAGCCGGAACCATGACATCATCAGATCTAGAATCACAACGCCAACTATATTACATTATTGGAAGAAGGGTGTCCATAAATCCCAAGAAATTCATAAATTCACTATCTACTATTAAATATAATATTAAAAAATTGAACGATACAGGAACTTTACCCCTAGACAAAAAACCGGACGACAAAAGAAGGTTACACAAACTGCAGCAAGAACTCTTGGGCAGTTTCTTCGAAGAGATCCTACTCTTTCTTTAAGAAGTTTGGCCAATAAACTATCCAAATTTGATATAATCTTAATTATGTTACAATTAAACGACATCTAGATAAGCTTGGTTATAAAAATTCATTACCAATTGGTACACCAATGCTCACAACATCTCATAAAGCTAATCACGTGGAATGGGCTAAAAAACATCTAAATGATAAATGGAATAAAACTATTTTCGCTGATGAAACTGCATTCCAACTATTTAGAAATACAATTACACAATGGCATAAAGGCCCGAGTACAATCAGACCACTTCCCAAAAATAGACAAAAAATGTTTGCATGGGCTGGATTTTGTAGTAGGGTTTATTTTGTTTCACACAAATAATGGATGCCAATTTTTATGTCGAAATTGTTGGAAAACATCTTCCTGAAATTAATAATATGCTTGGGAATTGTTGGAGATTTCAACAAGACAATGATCCCAAGCATACAAGCCGGGTTGCTAAAGAATTTCTTAATGAAAATGTTCCTATGATCATCGATTGGCCATCCAATAGCCCTGACCTTAATCCAATAGAAAATTTGTGGGCTACTGTCAAAAGGAATGTAGAAAAACATATGCCAAAAAATTTGGATGACTTGAAACAATTTTTAGTTGAAGAATGGGAATTAATTCCAGACAGTTTATTAATCAATCTTGTTAATTCAACGAAAAATAGATGTGAACTTATAATTGAAAATAACGGGGAAAGAATTTCTTGTTAATTTTATATAAATAAAATCATATCATTTCCAACTTTTAAATAAAAAAAACAAAACTAAAATTAATACACTCATTATCGAGTAATAAGGCTTTTTTTTTGGCGAATTATTTTTGTAATTCTTTTTCGGGTCTGGGTCACTTTACCGACATCCACTTCACCGACAACACGCGGGGTTACTTTTAACCTTCACACAATCAAACAACTATTAAAATGCTAAAACATCACGCCACGTGTTGTCGGTAAAGTGGACGGGACCCACAAAGAGATCACTTATTTGAAGAGCTGAAGGTAAACAAGATTTCTATATTATTTATTATTTTTTATTTTATTTTATTTTTACGAGAATATTAGATTCGAACAAAAGTGACACGTTCACATATAATATTTCCATTTTTGGCTGTTGCATCATCTTTATATAATGGCGATTTCTCAATGGCTCACATGTTCGAAATCAATGACAAAAGATTTTGAAAAGGCTAAAGGATGTATCATTCTCGCAATTTATTTATTAATATTAACATAAATTGAACGTACATTATATTTATTTGTTTATTCTACATCATTTATAAAATCATGTATATCTCTTAACATTTCTAATTCTTCATCATCTAAAACATTGGGTGCATCTTCAAAATATTTGAGCAAATTACTTTCAAACTTATTAAGTGCATTCTTAGCCACTGTATCACTTAAAATATTTCTCTATGTGAGAATCAAATTAAAATTATTTTAATAATATTATTATTAATCACAAATAATATAATATATATATTTGAGTGTATTTAAACTTACAGATTTTAGGTTTCCTGCAATTAATGTTAATTTTCTAAATCTTATAATTCCAGCTGTTTCATTTATTTGAAGTCTATTTAACGTTTGGCATAAAAGTTTTCTAATATCCTCTAAAAAAATTATTATTATTAAATATAATTTATCATATAAAATTATATATGTATAATATGTTTATGTACTTACTGTTGGTGTCTAAATATATTTCTTTGATTATGTTAATAGCAATGTCAGCATGTAGGCCATAATCAATATTATTTTCTTCGGTCCTTGGTAATTTACTATTATTATAATATTAGTAAGTATGATGATGATAAAAAATATTTGATAATTTGTCAAATAATAGTATAATTACACCACTTGGTAAGGATCAATCCAATCAATCATTTGTTGAGAAATTTGTAACGGTGGTGTTAAGTAACCTTTTGAATTCTTATGTTCTTTCAACAAATTTAATATTGTTGGAATAAAAATCTATATAAATAATAATAATTAATTAATAGATGAGTAATATACACTCACACGTATATATAATGATTAAGATTTTTTTACTTGTTGCATCAACTGTAGATTTTCATATGCAGAATGACAAAAAACCGGAAAGAAATAACTTAAACATTGTCTTAATCGAATATTTTCAATGGTTTTATTACCAAAGTATAGGTATACAAGTTTTTGTAAAATCTTTCATGTATATAAAAAAAAGAATAATTATTTACTTATATTAAAAAAACCAAATAGCAAAAAAAAAACAATGAGAAAGAAACTCACATCTTTATCCTGTAATAATTTTGTTAGCATTAATTTAGCAATCCCTTCAACTGCAATTGCTTGGATTTGTTCAACGTCACTTTTCAAGCAATCATTAATTAATTCTGGAATTTCAGTTCCCTTATGTATAAATAAAATAAAACAAAGAATCAGGGTTTAATGTAATAATTATAATATATAAATATTTACTCTTTTTTTTTTAAAAAAAAACTACCTTAGTGATTGTTGTATATCCAAATGTCATAAAAATATCAAATAACATCTAATAATATCATAATAAAAAACCCATTAATATTATTATCAAATATATATATATATATATATATATATATTAACGTACCATCAAGGATTTAGCTTGCAAGGCATTATGACCATGTTTTACATAATGAATGAATATACCAAGATTTTCATTAGCCAATGACTTTATAAATAATAATCAAAAAAAAAAATCGTTAATATAAATAAAATTATAAAATAAATAAATAAATATTGAATCATTACTTATTATAAATAGGAAATAACCTGATCAAGTATGCAGCATAGTCCAATACAGTGAATACTCATTTCTCGTAAATCAGGATCTTTACTTTGTGTATTTGGTATAATTACTTCATCAATAAAACCAGAAGTGGATGGATTATTTCTTAAACTCTATTATAAATAGATAGATAAATAGATAAATAAATAAATCTTTGCATTCTATCTTGTTTTAATACGTAAAATAACCCACTTCTCCAATTTTTTCTAAAATGGATTGAATAATTCGTAAACACTTCATATTAATCATTTTAAAATTCAATCGATCCTTTTCTTCATGATCTATCTCATTTTGAACTTCGTTATCATTCCTCGCAACTTCATCAACCTCCATCTCATCATAATCTAAAGAATCTATTTCGTCTGCTTCATCTCTCAATGTAATATAATTTGTCTTATTGACTGTGATGTCATCATCCTATTTGGTGTTTTAATATGTAAGTAATCTATATTTATAAATATATATACACACACACTATATGGATGACATAATTCTTTATAATTTAAACCTTGGAAGTTACAAGAAGTCCTTCACGAATATTCAAAATTATTTCTGCCATAGAACTGGAGTAAATAAAAATACATATATTAGAGAAAGAATTATCGTTCTAATAATCATTAAAGAAAACCCCTTTTAGCATTTACCATGTAAAATCTTTTTCATTCAGTGAAATCTTTTTAATAATTTCTATTATATTATCAATATGATTTTCATTAATTGTAGGCAACATAAGTATTTCACCTAATAATAAATTTTGTTCGATTACAATCATACAATGTCGAACTATTATTATTTAATAAATATAATTTTCGTATTTTATTATCTAAAAAAGTACCTAATAATGAATGCATTTTTCTCCTTCCAATCTCATCTCCATAATCAAGCAATTTTGCTAATAAAAGAAATTGGGTAACTATAAATTCATAATTCGTTTGTTCAATGTCACTTTTTGCTTCAATTAAACAATTATGATATTTTTGAAGGTAAAAGGCAAATCGCGTCACTTCTGGTAATAACTCATCAAGTTTACTAGCATCCTACGTAATAATAATAATAAATTCCAATAATTACTTGATCAACATTTGCATTTGATATAAAATAGACTTTTATTCTAAACCGTACCTCTTTATGATATTCACAAAAAACACAAATAAAAAATATTTTTTCGGCTGTTAATTCATCCCAAATATTATCTAAAATACACATATTGTTAATTTGTCATGAAAAATAAATAAAAATAAAAAATACGGAACTTTAAATGCGATGCACTCTAACCTTCAAAACGTAAATCTTTTAGTAAATCTGGACGTTCTTTAAATATTGATAATAAAACTTCTTGAGCTATGTTACTTCTCACAACATCTAATCTATTAAGTAACTATAAAATAAAGATAAATAAATAATAACTCATCAATGGAATAATTCATTCATAATATCTGTTAAACAATTCAATCATTGCAATTACCTGTAGCAAATCATCATTTACTTGTTTAAGCCATTTTGTTGAAAGCATTTTTGAACATGTTTTTCTAACAATAGCCTCTCTATAGAAATATTATATATATATATATAAATACTACTGGCGATCATAGCATTGTAAGATACTAAATTATATTAAAAAAGAATAAACCATCATCTTTACCTATCTTTCAATCCACAAGTTAATAATTTTTCTCGATCATTAATTGATAAAGCTCGAAAATCACCGATTCCCTCCATTATTTGATATACAGAGCGACGACAATGTGAATCGACATCTTTTGCTCGTTCAAGAATAAAAGGTAAAGTTGTTTCAGTAAGATCAAGATTACTGAGTACAGAACGTCTAACTTCTCTACAGATGTTGTTTTTAAAAATATATTATTTTTTTTGATAGTTGGAATTTTTTTAATAAACAACAAAGTAAATTATAAACAAAGAATCTTGTAAATTACGGGCTGGAATCATTTTGCATAATTTCCAATAGTTTTTGTGTTATTTCATCGCCCGACAATTCATCACCCTTATAATATTGTTACTTGTATATAAATTTTGGTGATGATAATAACATATGATGATTATTTAATCAAATTATAACCTACTTGTAACCTGGAATAGGCAATAACAGCTTTTACTCGTACAGAAATTTCTTTATCTAATAATCTTTCAGTTAATTCATCTTTCATCTTTTCGTACAAATCATCGCTTAAAAATATATTATTATTATATATTAGAATTGTATTTAAAATTGACTTGTAAAAGCTTAATTATTGGTTACTTACTCAAGTGTTCTTAATAAATTAATAAGATAACTAATCAGTTGACAAACACGATATCTTACAACTTTATCTTTAGCTTTAACACCTTGCAATAAATAGCGAAGCAAATATTCAGTAAACCTTGACGATAATGAATTCTCAAGATTATAATCATCTGGATCCTCATTAACACATCCATCGGAAGAAGCTTCTTCTCTTTCTACGTATATATATATATATATATCTATATATTAATTGATTACATAAATATTGTACTACTCTTATATAATCCAATGATCTATCAATACCTTTTTCTTGACTGTATGTGACAAATGAAACTACAAATTTTACTATATATTCAGCAGTTTTCTGTCCCCTTTTTTTTGTCAATATTTTGTTCAGGTTTCTTGTAAATTCTTTATTGAATTGACTTTCCCCATTCATATCACTTGAAGGGTCACTTGGAGCAATAGCTGAACATTTTAACTGCAGCTTTCGTAAATTTATTGCATTTTTTCTATGAGTTGAACTAGTTTTTTGACAGTCCTGAAAGATTTGAGGGATTAAATTAGATAAGTTTTGTAAAATATTCTCTGTTGAAGCCGTTGAGGGCATTTTTAAATATAATAAATTTGTATATAATAATAACGGACAGATAAATAAATATATTGATTTGAATAAAAACAATAAAATTCGCGTAATAAAATTTTCCCTGATTTAGAAATCTATCATGTGACAAAGTAATATTAATATCAATACTGCGCCTTACGGGCAACTTTATTGGTCATGTGACCATAAATTTAAAATAGTTAGCCACGTGATTATAATATTTAGATGAGTCAAATCTAGAGAATCTTGCAAAGTAGTTTTTACAATCAAGAGCAAGGATAGTTAACTAACTTCTAACATTTACCAATATATAAATTGTCAATACATTATTGCAGAAATAGGAGACAAGGAATTTGTATTAGTAGTGTATATAACAAATTTTTATTTTTTTATTTTTTTAAATAATTTAATTTCTATTTTTTTTTTCCTTTAAGTTCTTATTAAAGTCAAAAATTCTTCTCTTGTTTTAGCTTGTTCTCTAAATACACCCAACATAACACTTGTTACAGTTGTACTTCCAGGTTTCTGTACACCACGCATTGCCATACATAAATGACTAATAAAATAAAGTTTATTAGAGGAAATCATTTATTAGAAAAATATTCGTTAAATCATTAATTACTTTGCTTCCAAGACAACAGCAACACCTTGTGGTTTAAGTATTTCTTCTAAAGCCACAGCAATTTGTTTAGTTAAACGTTCTTGTACTTGAAGTCTTCTTGAAAACATTTCTGCTATTCTTGCTAATTTTGATATACCAAGAACACGTCTATTCGGAATATATCCGATACTTATCTGTTTGTTCATTTAAGAAGAGATTTTAAGAAAAGAACAAAGATACAAAAGAAGGATATAAAAGAAAAAATTTTCACCTTTCCAGTAAAAGGAACTAAATGATGTTCACATAGTGAAAATACATCAATATTCTTTACTATCACCATTTCATCATGATCTAAATTAAATTAATTGATTAATTAAAATGAAAAAAAATGACAATGATTTAGATTATATAATAAATAGATTAAAAATATATACCTTCTTCAAAAATTGCATCATTGATGATTTCTAATGGTAAGAGAAATAATAGTAAGTTATTATAATTCACCATCATATTTCACAACCATCATCATCATATTCATGCACAATATTTATAATCCAAAATAAATTTTTTTTTACATACGTTCAATACTTTCTTCGTATCCTTTTGAAAAGAACATTAATGCTTGAGCATATCTATCAGGAGTTTTTAGTAAACCTTCACGTTCAGAATCTTCACCGAGGCATTCTATGATTGTTTTAACAGCTTCGGCAAGTTTTCTTTTACGTTCATCTTTTTGATCATTTGTTTCATCTAATCTTTGCTTAGTACCAATACCTGGAAATGAAAAATGGAATTAGTGATGATAATAATATATATGTATATTTATACATATTCGTATCTTACTTGGCCAACTTAATCCATCCATATCTAAAAGTGAATTGCCTTTAATTGGTAGTGATTTTGAATGTAATTTTATTTTTTTATTTGGAATGTTATTACTAATATCATCATTATTTTTTTTGATTATAATAGTGTCATTATGATCATTATTAATATTATTAGCCTCAAAAGTATTTAAATTAAAGTTTTCAAGCATTTTGCAAATTTTATTTAATTTGTTAAAAAAATTTTTTTTTTAAATACATACGTTCAACATTTCATTTCGTTTATTATTTATTTATATAATAAATTGTTTTATTTACTAATAAGAATATAAATTGTTGCGCGGTTATTACTATAACAATAGAGATCACGCGCTTAATTATTTTTTCTTCTGCTTCCTTACTTTATTTAAGCCATATAACAAACAAAACGAACAATATTAATAGTAATAATAATTGAAAATTCCATCCATAGTAAAAAAATTAAAATTGCTTAGCAACATCTGATTTAAATTTTTAACATTTTTAGAAATATGCGTGTGTGTAATAATGACGAGTTTACACCTCCTGAAATATCCACTCTATCTCATTTTAATCTACTATATATATACTTCTTCAGTAACAAAGTGTGTGTATGAGTCATAATTTGAGATGTTTAGCAATAATAATAAAAAAAATTATTAGAATTGCAACATTAAAGGGTAAATTTCGATTGTTTGAAAGAAAGGTTAGTTTAATACGATATACTCTATATAATAAATGACAATTATTAATTATTACAAGTACTTTAAGATTAAAATAATTTAAATTTAATATTTCTTCTCTCTCACTTTTTAAAGTTAGCCGTGTCGATATTAATGAATAATAAAATATCAATTTAAGGAGTAATAATTATGGCTATGATTATTATTATTATTATTATTATCAGTTATTATTATTAATTATTAATTATCCTTTATCCTCCTCCTCTGAAATACATATTCAACTATCAATCAATAAAGAACTTAAGGATCAATCAAAAGAAAAAGTTAAAATGTATATATAAAATAAAATATGGTAAACAACGTGTGTTTCTTTATATCTACATTTCATGATCTTTTTTAATTATCATCATCATCATCATCATCATTATTTTTGTAGAAGAATTTGATGAATTATTAAATGAAGATGGACTTTTAGTATTAAACAAACAAACATACTATCATCTTTTTTATTTGCCAGAATAAAAAAATCAAAAAAACTAATAAATAAATAAGAATTTTTTTTTACAATAAAGTTTAATTATTATTATTAATCTAATCTATTTATACATTTATATTTTCTTAACCATAACTCAAGCTCGAGCACGATTATTATCTATCTATTATAAAGTCCAATAATAAATATTTGCAAAATAATTAAAGCAAAATGATTTCCTGTTAAAAATTTGGACGATGATGAGGATGAATTAAATTTACTCTTACTCGTACTACTACTATCACTAGCACTGCTAGTGCTGCTGACGCTGCTACTGGCACTGCTACTGGCACTGCTACTGGCACTGCTATTGGCGCTAGCACTGCTGCTGCTAGTATTATTATTAGTGTTATTATCATTAGCTTTAGCAATATTAAAGGCAGGATTTGGTTTTCCACCAGGTGAAGCTACCACTTTGACAAACTTTACACGTCTATCCTTGATAAACTCATCTGCACCTTCTTTCCACGACATTACAACGGTAAAACGATCTCTGAAATCAAAATCCGAGTTGATTGTTTTAGGAATCGGCCAATCAAAGACTGAAAATGGCACACCAGTTTTTGGTGATTTTAATGGCACATCAGTAGAAATGTCGGTTAACTTTACTTTATTAAATTCGTCAAACAATGATAGTGATACTGTTGGAGGAGCTGTTGAATCGGGGTCGAGTATCACTTGAACTGACAAACTATCACCGGCATTATATGACTTTTCCCAATTTAAATAATAGAAATCTAATACTCCTGGGCCTGTATTTGGCGTTGACGATTCATGTATAAATGGTCTTTCCGTTTTAGGTGTTTCTGCTTTAGGTGTTTCCGTTTTAGGTGTCGTTTTGGGTGTCGTTTTGGGTGTCGTTTTAGGCGTTGTTTTGGGTGTTGTTTTGGGTGTTGTTTTGGGTGTTGTTTTGGGATTTTTGGTAGCTATCAAAGTGTTTTAATAATCGAAAGAAAATAAAATTATTATTTGTCAAGTATTCTACTTACAAAAATGTTTATACAACATACCTTGACTTTGAACAGTCATAACATATAATAAAAATGTTACAAATATGACAACAAATATTTTCTTCATTTTTGGTTAGAATATATGTGTAGTAGTATGATTAAAAGAATGATAATGATGATTGTAGAATATACGGGGTTAGGATATGATGGATTAATTGATTGAAGAAAAATAGTAGAAGGAAAGAAAAATGAATGAATTAATGGATGAATGAATGAATGGATGGATGAATGGATGAGTGAGTGAATGAGTAAACGAGGGAAAAAAAAATACTATATAAAAAAATGCCAAGACCTTAATTAAATATATATATAATTTTTATTTATTAATTTGGTAGAATAATAGAACAGTGTCGTGCATTTCATTTGTTACATATTTGGTATAACCTCGTACCAAATTATTTTTGTTTTTCAAAATGAAACTGTTAAAAATAGCATGTTGACAGATCTCTAAATTTCCAATATACTTTTCCTTTTTTCTCTCTCGAAAAATGTTACTATAACCATTTTCCGTTTTGAAATGCTTATAGCGGGTTATGAAGATGGTTAGTGGTGGAATTATATTCTGATCAAACGTTTGCAATTATATTCATCACATTTACGTCTAAAAATTAATCTGCGGGCGGAATGCCCGATTTATTTATTATTTGCGCACAGTATAATTTTAGATGTAATTTTGATTCACAAAATTATATAATCTTTTTTATTCACTACTTTTGAAAAAAAGTATTCAACAATGGATAAATTTGTCGTAACTCCGAAAATAAAGAAAAAGATAACGATGGATCCAAATGGGTAGTAGCTAGTACACAAAAGCTAAAAAAAGACAAGGAAACAACTGGACAAGAATTAAATAAAAAAAAGTTTGATCCCAATTGGTTACGAATTTATCCTCGGCTTGAATAAAGCGAAGACGGTAATGAAAATTTGACAATGTTTTGCAGCTGATGTAAAAATAAAAATGCAAACAAGAAAAATATCTTTACAACAGGTCACAATAATACCGAAAACAAACACTTAAACGGCATATAGATATGGGGTTGGTTGTACTAGGAAATCGAGCCACCAGGCAAAAAATCTATTTTTGGTAACAACCCTTATAAATTTGGGTACACATGTTTTTTTAATTCTAAGCCTTGTATATATCTACTATGCAAACAGGGTAAATTCTTGTGTTAGAAATTATTGTTGAGTAAAATTACTGATCGCACATAGTTTGCTAATAATATGCGGTAAGCGTACTTTAATGTGATAGCAACGTGCTAGTACCGCACGTAATTTTGAGTTTGAATTTTAGGCACTGCGCGGACCTCTTGACCAATTTTGCACCTGATTTTAAAATTAAAAATAACTCTAGTTCAGTATCTTATATGCGTGCGTTATTTGTAAAAAATACCCAAAAGCACATAATCTCTATTCTTTAGTTAACTCTTTCTCGTTTAAGATTTCGATTAATTTTAATTTTATTGATATTTGAAAAGCTGTAATTATGAAAAAATCATTTTTATGTTTTTCATATATTTTTTTTTGATTATTATTTTCATGTACAGTCAACCCTTGTTTCAACGAATTTTTGTTTTGTCCCCTTTTTTTATTAATTAAAGGTTTTTGTTTCAACGAATTTTATACATAAATTGTGTTGCAACGACAACAAATTTTTTTGGAATACAAGATAACGAATTCACGTGACAATAAATTGACATGTAAATAAAATTAAATCATACGATTAAAATTAAATCATACGATAAAATCAAATCATACGATATTTAAATTATAAAAATGATATTTAAATCATTGCGATTTCGTGATTCGTTCAAAAATGCAATAAAAAAATTATTTTCCTTACTGCCAAATTTAGATATAATGGTCAATAGGACCGGGAAAACTCTATAGTATGTGACCGCCAAATTAAATGGCAAATCATATTAATGCGAATCTTAGTTTTTTAT